TGTGCTGGTAGACCTCTTTACTTGAAAAATCTGCTCAGAGATACAAGGGAAGTAATTACCGGATCTTCCCAGGAACTCTAGCAAAATCCTCAAACAACATGTTTTAAGATTTTTTAAAATTAATTTTTGAGGGGATTTGGCCACTATATGTACCACCAGGACCACAAGTATTTAATTTTCTATTTGGGAGCTGTGTAGCCTTTCTTAGGGGCCAGTAAAAGGCAGCAGGGCCACATTTTCTGTTTGAAAAGCACTGTCATATAATTTCTTTCTGAATTTATATTGCAGGTGAGAATTTGCTATTCCAATTTGCTCCTATTAACATCATCAGTACCTGAATATATCTAGCCAAAAAAAAAAAGGCAAAAAACCCATTTATTGTCTAAAACAACCTTTTACCCAAGACTGGTAAAAAAAAATAAATCAATATACAGTTCCCATCAGTATGGTAAATTAGTTACAGAAACCACAGTGCACATTTCCATTAACCCTTCTCTTCCTCGGTACAGGGAAAAGACCTTCAATTAACTGCTAATCCTTCTAAATGTGACCAAGCGTGTGACCAGGCTTGGCAGTGTCTCTGCTCACAGGTATAGAAGTGAGAGGAGACGTATTGGTCTTGGAAGGGTTTGCATGCCTTCTTGCCAGGAAGTGAGGCAACGGGTTGGCTGACCTTGGAGACCTTGCTGGCTCTGGTACTGGGTGATTTGCAGTCACTTTTAGGCAATCAAGCGTTGAGCTGAAGATTACTTAAGAAGATAGATTTACAATGCATCTGTAAGTGAGAAAAGTCGCAGGGCTAGTTCAGACTAGTCCTTCACTCCATTCCTCGCATTTGGCTGTTATTTTAGAATGGGCTGTTGAGAAGGGAATGGCAGAAGGTGGAGCGCATTCCTGAAGCTGGTGGAAAGCCTGAAGGCAAGATTGCCAGAACCCCTGTCTGTCGAAAGCAGAAGGGGCATAGCGGTGGGAAGGTGAAAAGTCAGGTCCTCAAATGCCAGCATGTGAGCCAACCCTGTACGCATCGTTTGTGTGGCTCTGAGAGTTGGGAAAAATTTAGACAAATTTAAAATGATAACCTTCGTAAGAGCATCCAGATTTTCAGTTGTTTTTAAGGGAAAATAGAAGAAATAGCAACCCTGAGTTTATATACTTATTGATTGCCTTCAAGTTGAGCTCTACTCATAGTGACCCTATGAACAAAAGGCCAGAAGCCCCTCTACAATTACCAACATTTATCAAAGTTCATAGCAAAAATAAGATAAAACTGTTTCTTTTAGGAAAACTGCTCAGTCTCCTGGGGCCACCTAATCCTACCTGCTTCTTACTCTGGTCCTTGCTATGCTGCCCTTCGGAAAGCAGAGTATCAGAATGTGTCCCATCTGGTGTAGTTGGAATAAGGGGCCTGGTAACACAGAGGTTAAGCACTGGTGCTTTAAATTGAAAGGTCAGCTATTTAGACCACCTGTCACTCCCTCTGTGAGACGAAGATGTGGCAGTCAGCTTCTGTGAGACTTGCAGCCTTGGAAATCGTATGGGATTTTACTGTCTGGTTGCTGAGTCTGAATGACTCACCCATAAGGATTTAGTGTCTTATGGCCTAGAAAGGATACAGAGTTACCCTGGCATCCCAAAGACAGGCAGTTCAAATCCACCAGCTGCTCCTTGGGAGAAAGATGGGAAGTCTCCTCCTGTGCGATTTGTTGTTGTTGTTGTTGTTATGTGCCATCGAGTCGCTTGTGACTCATAGTGACCCTATGTACAACAGCCCTAAACTCCGCTCTGTCCTGTGCCAATCGCACCATCTCCGATACACCCGTCCCAATTGCCCCAGTCACTGAATCAATCCACCTCGTAGGGGGCCTTCCCCTCCTGCGCTGTCCCTCCACCCTACCAAGCATGATGTCCCTCTCCAAGGAATGGTCCCTCCTTACAACATGTCCAGAGTATGTTAGACGGAGCCCCAGAATCCTTGCCTCCAAGGAGCCAGCTGGAAGTTTAGCTATGAGTTGTTCCGAATTGTTAGTATAATCAGATAAGGAAGCGCCCCAGATGCATTGAGTTTTCACAAGCAGATTGTTTGATTGAAGGTGTGTTCCAAATAATTTATAAGAATTAATAATTAAAATGCCATTTTTTTCAATGATGTACTTTTTAAAAACAAATTACTATAGTTTTCTTCATTCTTTCATTGCACCACGATGGACTCTCTTGATATAGGAATAATGGGATTGAAATACAGCTGCTCAAAAGGGATTAACAAATAAGCTTCGGTCCATAAACTAGGATTTTCTTAGGTACAAGTGGAAGAAATTAACTGAGCTTGCTTAGGCCCCACCACCATCACACCTCTTCTGGGGGCGGGGGTGGGAAATTGACTTCTATAACTGAGAATCCCGAGTGTACCTAGCTTCAGGTAAGACTTGATTCAAGAAATCAAATGTTCTATTTCTCTCTCCCTACTTCCTTTATCCTTTCTCTCTCTCTCTTTCTCAGCTGTTTCTTTATTGGTTTTATACTCTGACAAATCCTCTCCACATAGGAGTAAAGAAAGCAAATCTAGGCTTGTATTGTTCCATGAGATATGATCTAAGATAAAGAACTTCCGTATAACCAACTCTAACAATTGTAGTAAAGACTCTTTATTTACCCTACTGGGTCGTGTATTCACCACTAATTTAATAAATACTGTTTGATGCCTAAATTGAGTCAGGATCTATCTCTGTGCTTGAATCCCTTCCTGTGGAGCTCATACTATGCAGGGGAGGGGAAAGCAAAACCATTAAAAGTGAGCATAATGAGGTTTGTTTGTTTATTTGTTTTTTAAAAGTATTATTATAAGGCTGCTTCCTTCTGACATACTTTGAGAGTGTTGCAAAGAGGGACTTGTTCTTGAAGAGGGACATCATGCTTGGAAGGGTGGAGGGACGAAGAAAGAGAGGGAGACCATCGACGAGATGGATTGATATAGTGACTGGAGTAATGAGGGTAGGTGTGTTGGAGACAGTAAAGTTGGCACAGGACACAGCAGGTATCATGGCTGTTGTGACCCACTGGGTGGTCAGCTATGAGTCAGTTCTGACTCTGTGGTATACAGTAACTATATCT